TTTTTTTTAAAGAAGTTTTAATGTTTGGGTAGAAGTCAGTATGGCAAACTAGAGACTGAAGACCAACTTGCCAAAGTACCCTGAGGTGCTAAATGGCAGCTAAGAACAGCTGAGCCGCCCTGGAAGAGACAGTGCTCTGGAACAGAAAACACATTCTCCCTGTTCCTTAAAGCTCAGGTTAACGTTAAGAGTATGTTGAAAATGTGCTAGTGTATCAAGCCTTCCGTTGGGGCCTTGATGGGAATGAGAGCATGATGGATGCTAGGTTAGGGAGGGTATGAGGTCTGGAAAGTATGAGCTTTACACGAATGCTTTCATGAAGTGGCTTCCACGCAGAGTGAGGGACTTTCTCACCTCTCAGACTGCTTTATAGCTTCCATGGCTTCCAAGAAGTACATTTAAGATGTACATACATCTGTGTACACACAGCAAACCAAAGCCCATTCATGGTTTTCCTTCCATTCTTTGCAGAATTCCATAGCCTATTCACCTGCTCATGCCCCCTGCAGAGGTTATTTGTATCCCCTGAGTTCCATGCCCTCCAGGCTACGGCTAAGGGTGGCTTTAGGCAGGGATGACAAAACATTTTACTTCGTGGGAATGATGGCTTCATCTGTGCAGAAATTTCTGGACATAAAGGCCTTTTATCAAAAAGGTACCAAGACTGGCTAGTGAGGAAAACTATGCAGAGGCAGGAATACCCAGTAGGTGGCAACTATTCATAGAGGGTAGAGAATGTTAAATTTGTATTAAGCCCGTTTGATATTTGGAAAACTTTCTAGCTTATGATTCTATCAGGAATTATTTACAACTGTCCTTTTGCAAAAATATTCCATACTTAACTTTAGTTTCTACTCTCCCCTCCTCTCTTTGCTTTAATGGAAGTGAAGCAGGGTTGATGGTACAGCCTCCATCTCTGGGCAAAAAAATTCTCAAAAGTTAATTCTGGAAATGCAGTGTCAGACACTGGCTGCTTATTTCCTGCCAGAGTGGAAGACACTTTCTTCCTCTTGGTGACCTAACTTGCTGTCTTCGAGCTCTCAATGCAGATCTGGGAATAAGTTAAAGAGTTAAGTCTGAACTGAGACTCATTCAGTAAATATTTGAGCTCCTGTTGCTAAGCATGAGCCAAATGCTAGGAATACAATGGTGAAAAAGACTGAACCCACTCCCTTCCTCACAGCACTTGTAGCCGTTAACGGAGGCCATCTGGAATAGTGGTTAAGTGGTTTAGCCTTAGAGCATAGGCTCTGGAGTCCAAAGTCGGGTTCTAATCTCAGTTTGTCACTTAAATGTGACGTTGGGCATGTTACTTAACCCCTCTGCATCAGTTTCCTCCACTATTAGCATTTCCTTCCCCTTATAAGGGTTGAATGGAGATTAGGTGACAGGGCCTATAAATCAGAAACTCTTGGAAAATATAAGGTGCCATTCTCATGATGGAAAAGTGCAGGGGCTTACTGAAGCAGAATGGTGAAAACTAATCCTATACTGGGAGGCAGGGTCACATTTTTTTTGTGTAACCTGTGAATAGAATTTTTTTTTTACAAAAGAATACGTATTTTCCCCCCACTGTAACTTCATACCACAAATGGGACTTCTAACAATGGATATGATCCATTCTTGTACTTAAAAATATTCCATGCCCAATGGGTTGGATGTAGTGGAATGTCACCTGCATTTATTCTGTACTTTCAAGGGACTAAGAGCAGTAATATACACAGAAACTTTGGAGGAATCTTATGGATTGAAGGAGTTTATTCAAAACCTTGTCAGTGTCCTTTTGTCAGTGTCGTGGTGACTCCTCTTACCCTAATTCAGTAGTTCTCAACTGGGGGTCATCCCCCCAGGGCCGCTGCTGGGGACATTTGGCAATGTCTGGAGAGACACTGTTTTTTTTGGAGACATACTTGATTGTTGGAACTGGGTCGGTCCTATTGGCATCTAGTGGGTAGAGTCCAGAAATGTTGCTAAACATCCTACAATGTGCTAGACAATGCCTCACAACAGAATTACCCAGCTTAAGACAATCAGTGCTGTTTTTGAGAAACCCTGCTCTAAGTCTTGCCCCTTCAGTGTCAGTGCATCCCAGAGTTCTGGACTAACTTCCTTCATTTTGTGCTTCCTTGAGCAATCAGTCTTTCTCATGATTTTATCCACCACTTGTTCACCTGTGGTTTCTCAGTGTACATGTCCAACCTCAGCCTCTTTCTAAGCTGGAGATGCCATGTATCCAGCTGTCTGTGTGGCTCCTCCAGTGTGGCAGCATGTACAAACCGGGGCCCGTCCTTCCCACACCCCTGGCTCTCCCTGTTGTAGTGAACACCATGATCTGCCCATTCAAAGCCATAAGCCGAAGTTTTTCCAAGTTCCCTTTTTCTCTCCCCTCCCCTCTTCAAATCCAGCCAGGCTCTCCCACCACGCTCAGCACCACATGGACGCAGTGGTGTCTTCATCGCCGCGGACTAAGTTCGGGGCACTCTGCTTTCCTGCTCGGGTCCCCGCAGTGGTTTTCACCTGCTAGCCTTCCTGCCTCTGCTCCTGTCGCACACCCTCTGCTACGGCCATGCCAGACTGTTTACAGTGTCAGAGCGGTTTGTGGTCGTGGGACCTGATGCCGCTACGTGTTTTCCAGTGGCCTGCAGTACCCTTCTCCCTTTGGTTACCTTGCGCTCATCTTTTAGTCTGAGATGTCACTTAAAAGGTTCCCGATTCCCAGGGCCTCAGCCACCACCATCTCTTATTTAGATGCCTGTAATGGCTTCCTTATGGATGACTCCCGGCCTCTCCTCTTACACCTCCACCAGTCTAGCAGAGCAATCTTCAAGAAATCCAAGTGGGGTGACAGTACTTCCTTGCTTAACTCTTCAATAGCTTCCTTAGGCCGGCGTGGTCTGGCCCCTGCTCATCTTTCCAGCCACATTTCCCTCTGTTGCTTACCATACTCCAGCGACACTGGCCTTTTAACACACAACAGAGTTTCCTTCCTCAGAGCCGTGGCACATAGTTTTCCCTCTGTCTAGAACATTTTTTTGCTCCCTGCTTTTTGCCTGTTTTCCTTCTCAACTTATAGGTTCTCAACATCTTCTCATGAAATTCTTCCCTCAGCATCCTAAGTTGCAAGCCTCTCTCCATTATCAGTTTACCCTGTGAATTTTTTTCATAATTATATAATTAAATGTCTGTCATCCCCACTCAGCTGTAGTATGTCCATCTTGTAAATCACTGTTTTCCTTGGGTTGTAGTACAGTGTCTGGCACCAGGTGCTTAAAAGGTCATGCTGAATGAAAAATGTTGCCCTAATGCTCCTGCAAAACGATGGGTGGAGTCGTTGGGGAAGGCTGGGGTTAGTAAAGTGGTGAGAATGTGGAAGTCATCCTGAGGTCACTGAAGTCAGAACTGTGAGACCGTAATCTTTATCCTGTTCTCCAAGAATTCCTGAGGGTGAGAGAGTGTTTACTGATTCCTTCTAAATGACCACTTTCAGATTTACTTGAAGGTCACTGGGATTCCTCTGGGATCAAATGAAGATTATTTTATGTTAATTGGCCACTTTTAAGTGAGTACAGGAGTCAGAGGATTAAAGCAGAACCCAGTGTTCACAGTTTATTAAGAAACTCTATGGATCAAACTGAGAACAAATTCTTTACCTTAGTAGTTAACAGTATTGTTAACATAGGGAAAAAACAATAGTTCATGTATTTTTGCTAGCAATATGACAGGCAGTATGTTTCCCTAAGTAAGTTTCCCCTTTCAGATGAGCAAATTTTGGGCAAAAGAATTAAGGCTAGTTCTGCAGATTCCCGGGACGGAAGTATGATAGCTGGAGTTAGCAGAAATATGTGGTCTGAAAAGGAATCTGTGTGCAGTTTCAGGGTCCTGTCTGGGAACTGCGGCTTGATTTCACGTTTGGGATTCTCACTATTTACAGGGGCATAGGGATAGAGTGTTTGTTTCAGGGCTTGTCTAAAGAAATCTAAGATATATGGTGGCTATAAACATAGAATAAAATGATAAAACAGTTCTCTAATTTGTAGTCTATAATGCTTCCGAAATAGGAAAGGATGAATTTTACCTTCATAGTTTTAAGAACAGCTGTTTCAAGCCATTTATATAAAATGGACTAACTGAAATACTCGGTTCAAAGAATTTCTTTTTTGATCCATTCAACGACTAGAAAAATCTTTTGCTTCAATTTTTGTTAAAGTTTCCAAATATGTACCACCTACTCTCCTGCCTCAGAAACTTGATCACACTTCATTTCTGATGGCTGAGGGTCTCTTGTAGTTCTAGGGTCATGAGCCATCTGTGTTAACTGCTACTGTTTTGGATGTAGATAGTATAAAAATTTGGGTTAGATATATTCTGATTATGAACTTGAAGGGAGGGACAGGGTTTAATTCATTTTTATTACCAACCACAGTGTCTGGCAAAGTAGGTACCAGTGAATATCTATTGAAGTAAATTAAAATTGGGCATTGATTTGTTGAATGCAGAAAAATTAAAATATATTAACTTTAGGTTCAAATAAAGCCTATTTACTGACCACTATTAAAGTAATGACTCAGAACTATTCTACTTGTAAGATTATAATTCATGCCCCAGCATATACACGTGTACCCCACCTTCATTACTGCTGCTCCTTTGCTGAACTTCCCCACTTCACTGAGGACATTTAGCTCCTCACAAGCCTTTACTCCAGACTTGACTCTCACTAGCATACATTCCTGGAAGGTCACTCCAGTGGGTTTTGGGTGGCCTTCTTTGCCTGCAGTGTCTTATTTTTTCCAGTGCTGATTGAAGTAAATGGTAGAACTCTTACAAAGGCTAATTCAATGTATGTTTATATTTAATATAAATAAAGGGGTTCGCTCTCTCTCTTGCATTCTGAGACGGCCCGCACTCTGTCTATGGAGTGTGGATCTGCTTTTACTTTAAACTAAACACCCCACACCTCTCCATCTCTCTCCCTCTCACCTTTCTGAGATGGCCCGCATTCTGTGTATGGAGTGTGTTATCTCCTAAGCCGTTTTCCCTTCTGAGACAGACCCCACTCTGTGGAGTGTGTATCTCTCTAAATAAACCTTTCACTTAAAAAAAAAAAAGGAAAAAGCCACCTTTAAAAACATTCAGTAGAAAACAGTTCTTCTAAATTATCTAAATGTCTAATGATAGGGAAAATGGATGTGTTACTGCTTGAGAGAATACCCTGCACCAATAGAAGTCATGTTTTTGAACACACTAGTAACATTAAGCATTGAAAGGAAATATACCGAAGTGTAAATAATGGTTATACCTGGATGACTGAACCAAGGGTGATTTTAATATCTTTATATTTTCCATTTTCTGCAGCAAGCCTATCTTTACTAATCAGATAAAGACTCAGAATAAAAAAGAAAATTGTGCTCAATCTAGGTTAATCAAATGTAAAGCTACTGGTGAAGTACCAGAATATCCTGTAAGAAAGTATTTTTAAGATAATGTGAGACTCTTAACTAAAAATCTGAGGCAATCAAGTATTTGCCAGATTGGCAGAAAAGCTTGTTTCTGATTATTGCAGGTCCCAGTTTAAGAAAGCAACATGGAGTACCTTTTAGCCAGCTTTTAACAATTTTTGTGGCATTTTAAGCTTACTGAAGAAATCGTAAGAATGTTAATTCTAAACAAATCTGGTGTCATAACCTGTTACTTCCATATAGGTGACACATTTAGTTGAACAAGTTTATGTAACTGGTAGCCTGTCTTTCTGGTTTCCCCTGTGACCATTCATTAGCTTGGCTGAATTTATACAAAACGCTGTTGTACGCTGTGATCGTGTTGTGTGCTAGATGGAGTAATTCACAATGTTTGCAGCCTCATTCCTGTACCCTCGGCCCTCTTTCACATCACTGAGATATGGAGTCATTACTAGGTTACTTACTGAAAGCATTACCTTGAATCAGCTGGTACAGGCACTGCCCAAAGGCGACCTATAATGTTAGATGGTAAAGTAGTTGGAGAATTTCAAGTTGTTTTTGGAGGGTCAAGCTGTCTGGGCTCCTGCAGTTATCCTTGTAGTGAGGATAGCTTCTGCATTATTGCTGCCTTCTGTGCCACTCAGTAAATAACTTCTGAGGTCACATCCCCGACAGTCTGCCAGGTGCTGGGGTTACCAGATGAGTAAAACATGGTGCTTTTGCCCTAAAGGAGCCCATGTTCCAGTGGAATCACCAATGGGTCCACTGTCCCCAGAATTTACATGCCAGACGCTGTTAGTTACATTATATACATTATCTCTAGTTCTGAGAACAGTCCTGTTGTTCACGCAGCCGATATTTACTGTGTGCCAACCGTGTGCCTTGTTCTGTGTTCTGGGAATGAAGGGGACGAGGTCGGCAGTGGAATGCTAATGTTACACCTGACTGAATTCTGGTTCAGAGAGGTTATGTAATGTGGCCAGTATCACAGCCGTGGTAGTAATAACAGCCATTGTTGATTGATCACACAGGCACTATGCCTAAGGGCAAAATATAATATATACATTGTTTTATTTAATCCTTAAAGAGGCCCGTGTGGCAGGCGTGTCCCCACTGAGGCTTGCACGCCTAAGTGACAGAGCAAGGATTTGAATTTAATAAATCTGTCTAACTCCAAATTCTGGGCTTTTAACCTTTCAGTAACAGTTATGATTGGTCAGGTGTCTCCTGCGTGCCAGGTGTTTGTGTATATGAGGTTCTCACAAGCTTGGAAGGTAGCTGCTGGTATCTTCTGAACCTGAGCCTCAGGAGTCAGATAACCCGCCCAGCTGGCGAGTGGCAGGCAGAGCCAGATCCGTCGGGCTCCTAAGCCTCTGCCTTTCCGTGGTACTACCCATTCTTCCTCCCTTTCTAATATTTGAGTCTGGTAATTTCTGTTGGACGAACTCACCCTGACTTGTTTGTAATTCTTCTTGAGATGAAGCACTTGGTGGTGTAGCCTTGGAATTCTGGGTCTGGAATTTGGAACCATGGCGGTCAGCTATTAACAGCTGTAAACAGGCCTCGCTTGTTGACATTCTAGTGCTCGCTCTGCAGGCTGCGGCTGTCGGAAGGCTCCTCTCCCCTCGAGACCTCGTCACCCACATGTGTTCTGCGCAGCCCTTAGCTTATCTCCCACAACATGAGAAGAGGGTGTCCAGCAGAAGCCTCTCATACACACTGGTCGAATTTCACCACAGCTGGTCTCTGCTTCTCCCTCTCGTGACCCCTCACCTGTCCTTCTGTCTGCGTCCCTTTGTCTCCTGTCTCTCCCTTCCACACACTGGCTCCTTCTCTGAGCACCACCACAACTAGAAAAAGCCTTTTGCTTGAGCCAATTATTCTCTTTAGCTGCCATCAGCTTCTCATCTTTTTAGGCTAACAAACTTAAGTGTTTATTTAGACCTGTTACCTCTTTTTTTTTCCTTCTTTTAATGCCGGTTACAAACCAATATGTAGTATAAAACTCTGTTTTTGTAAAACAAATGACTTATCTATTTGCAAAGAAATGTCTAGAAGGATATACTCCTAAATGATAAATCAGACTGTCTCTCAGTGGTGGATTTTAGGTGAAGATTTTCATTTCTATTTTCTAACTCAGTGAATACATATTACCTATGTCAACAGTTAAAGGGGAAAAATAACTTTTTCCTGTTTATGGAAATAATATATGCTCATTATACAAATCTTGTAAGTTACAGAACAGTATAAAAAGCCCAATTACTTGCAATCCCATAACCCAGAGTTAATATTCTGGAGCCTTACCATTTAGCTTGTGCAGATAGAGACACACATCTTTAATACTGAGATTATATCACAATTTTATAACCCTCATTTTTCTGTTATGTTTTTGTGCAAGCACTAAATTTAAATGTCTGCATTATATGACACACGGATACCATGACTTAACTATTATTGTACATTTGTGTTGCTTTGAATTTTTTATTTTAGAATTACCTGTGACCAGTGCCAATCATTTGGATAGAATAGTTCTATCTAAATTCCTGATTATTTACAATAGATACCCAGAATTAGAATTGCGAGTCAAAGGGCATAAATTCAGGCTTTTGCAACATATCGTCAAATTAATTTCCAGGCGGGCTGGGCCAATTTGCTTCTGCCAGCAATATCTGAAAGTGTTTGTCCTACTGTATAGTGAGCCTGGAGTGAGGTGTTACTACAACCTGCAGCTTCTGTGAGAGCAGTTCGGGCACTATTTTAATTGCACCTGCCTGTTTCTCCCTGCCTGTGCTCACCCATATTCAGTAATGCTTAGTACACAGGAGGAATGCAAACATCATTGATTTAATACCATCTTTAAAAAATTACTACCAATTTAATAAGCTATACTTCTTTTGTCTCTCACTTTTAAAAAAGTTTAATTTAACTTTAATTTACATATCATAGAGTTCACTGATCTTAAGTGTTTAATGTGCTTTAGTAAATTTTTACAACTGTGCAACCGTCGCCACAATCCAATTTTAGAATACTTTCATCTCTCCATCTGTCCCTCCTCTCCCTTGCGTCTGTCTGCATTCACTTTCTACTCTCAATCCTGGAACTAGACAACCACTGACCTGCTTTCTGGTTCTATAATTTTGCCTTTTCTAGAAATTTCACATAGATGGAATCACATAATATGTAGTCTTTAGTGTCTGGCTTCTTTCATGTAGCATGGTATTTCTGAGATTCATCCATATTGTTACATGTATTAGGAGTTCTTTTACTTATTGAGATGTAATTGTCATATAATAAATTGCTCATATTTAAAGTGTACAATTAATAAATTTTGCCTTTTGTATATACCTGTAAAAGCATCGCAACAATCAAGATCATGAAACAGCCATCCCCCTACAAAAGGTTCTCATTCTCCTTTAGAACCACCTCGGCCCTCCCTACTGGTTTGCTTTCTGTCATTGTTGATTAGCATACGTTTTCTAGAATTTTACATAAATGGAAATCATACCAAATTGGAATATGCTCTTTTTGTCTAGCTTCCTTCCCCTGGCTTGAGTTTTTTGTCTAGCTTCCTTCCCCTGGCTTGAGATTCACTCATATCGTTATGTTTGTCAATAGTTCATTCCTTTTTTTTTTTAATTGCTGAGCAGCATTCCATTATATGGACATACTGTATTTTATCAGTTTACCAGTTTAGTGGATATTTGGATTATTTCCAGGTTGGGTCTACCATGAATAATATTGCTATAAACTTTCATGTACAAGTCTTTGAGTGAACATTTCTCTTGGGTAGATTCCTAGGAGTGGAATTGCTGATTCATATAATAAGTGTATGTTTAACTTTTTAAGAAATTGCCGAATGTTTCTAAAGAGGCTATATAATGTTACATCCCCATCAGTCCAATGTATGAGGGGAGGCTCCAGCTTCTCCACACTACTGCCAACTGGTGATTTAAGGTGTTCCAGTGACTGTGTAGTGAATCTCACTGTGGTTTTAATTAACATTTTCCTAATGTCTAACGATGTAAAGCATCTTTTCATATACCTATTTGCTGTTTGTACCTCTAATTTAGTTAAATGTTTATTCAAATATTTTGCCCATTTAAAAAATTAGATAGTCTTTTTTTATTATTGAGCTGTAAATATTCTTTATATATTATGGATAGAGGTCTTTATCAGAATGTTCTGGAAATATTTTCTCCCAGTGTGTCTCTTCATTTTTTGAATGGTGTCTTTGAAGAACAATCGTTTTTAATTTTGAAGGAAGTCCAATTTATTAATATTTTTATTGCTCTTGCCTAACCCAAGGTCACAATGATTTTCTCCCATGTTTCATTCTAGAAGCTTTAGAATTTTAGCTTTTACATTTTGGTCTCTTCCATTTTGAGATAATTATTTTTGCATATGGTGTGAGATACGGATTATGGGTTCTTTTTTTGCATATGGACATCCGATTATTTCAGCATCATTTTGAAAAGACTACCCTTTCCCCTTTGGTTGAAAATTAACTGGCCATATATATGAGGGTCTATTTCTACAGTGTTTCATTGACCTATGTGTATACTTGTCAGTTCTACAATGTCTTGATGATTGTTTCCTTTATGGTAAGTTTTGAAGTCAGGTAGCATAGGTCCTTCAACTTTGTTCTTTTTAAAAAGTGTTTGGCTATTTTAGGTACTCTGCATTTCTATATAAATTTTTGGGTCAATTTGCCAAATTCTATAGCAAAAGCCTGTAGGGACTTTGATAGGGGATGGGTTAAATCTGCAGATCAATTTGGGAAGAACTGACATTTTAACAATACTGAGCTTTCTAATTCTCATTATTTGGGTCTTTAAATTTGCTCAGCACTGTTTTGCAGTTTTTGGTGTGCAAGTATTATAGTTCTTTTATTATATTTATTCCTAAGTATTTTTGATGCTATTCTGAATAGAATAATTATTTTTATTTGAATTTCACTATTTCATTGCTCATTGCTAGTCCCTGGAAATACAACTGATTTTTGTACACTGAGCTTGTATTCTGAGACTTTGTTAACTCATATATTAGTTCAGGGAGCTTTTATGCAGATTTCTTAGTGTTTTCTACTTAAAGGATACATAATCTATGAACGTCTTCCTTTCCAATCGGAAGACTTTTAATGACTTTTTCTTGCCTTACAGCACAGGACAGGAACCTCAGTTAAAATGCTGAGTAGAAATGGTGAGGAAGAGAAACATTCTTGCCTTGTTCCTAATCTTAGCAGGAAGGCGTTCAGTTTTTCATCTTAAGTATAATGTTAATTATAGATGCCTTTTATCAGGTTAAGGAAGTTCCCTTCTATTCTTACTTGGGTAAGAGTCACTGTGAATGGAAGCTGGATTTTGTCAAATGCTTTTTTTTTCTTCTATAGAAATGATCATGTGCTTTTTTTTTTTTGTCTTTTATTATATTACATTAACAGATTTTGAGACAGTAAGCCAGCCTTCCCTTCCTGGGGTAAACCCCACTTAGAGTGTATAATCTTTTTTATATGTTGCTGGATTTGTATACTAATATTTTGTAAGAAGTTTTATATTGATGTCCATGGGGGATACTGGCTTGTAGTTTTCATTCCTTGTGACATCTCTGTCTTGCTCTGGTATCAGAGTAATACTGTCTTTCTAAAAATAAGTTTAGAAGTGTTCCCTCCTACTATTATTTTCTGAAAGTAGTCATGGAAGATTGGTATTATTTTTCCCCTTAAACGTGTGACAGAACTTAACCATTGAAACTATCTGGACCTGGACTTTGGGGGGAAAACTTTCAATAACTTATTCAGTATGTTTACTTGATATAGCCTCTTCTGATTTTCTGTTTTCTCTTGAGCCAGTTTTGGTAATTTGAGTTTTTCTAGATTATGTCCCACATCATCTAAGATGTGGAATTTATTGGGATAAAGTTGTTCACAATATTCCTTTACACTTACTTTAACCTCTGTAGTATCTATAGTGATGCATCCTCCTTCATTCCTGTCTCTTTTTCCCCCCTCCTTGGTCTAGCTAAAACTTTATCGTTTTTTTTTTAAAGCTTTCCAAAGAACCAACTTTTAGTTTCATCAATTCTTTGATATTGTTTTCCTATTTTCTATTTCATGGATTTCTACTCTGATCTTTATTATTTCCTTCTTTCTACTTATTTTGGGTTTGGTTAGCTCTTCCTTTTTCTACCTTTTTAAGGTGGAAGATGATATTATTGATGTTAGACCTGAGCCATAAATATTCTTCTAAGCACTGCTTTAACTGCATCCCACACATTTTCTTTTATTTTCATTCATTTCAAGATAACATTAAACTTCCCTGCAGTGCCTTCTTTGACCCATGTGTCTTTAGAAATGTGTTATCTAATTTCCAAATATTTTGGGGTTCCCAGATTCCTTTCTGTTACTGATGGATGTTTAATTTAGTTTTACTATGGTCAGCCAACATACTTTATATTACTGTAATCCATCAGAATTTATTGAATCTTATTTTATTCACCTAACGTATGGTCTGTCCTGAAGAAGTTCCATGTGCACTTGAGAAAAATGTGTATTTTGCTACTGTTTTGTGGAGTGTATATATTGACTAGATCAAATACACTGTGTTGTTCAAGTCTTCTGTATCCTTACTGATTGTCTCTAGCTCTATCAATTACTGTAAGAGGTGTGTTGAAATCTCCAACTATAATTGTTGAATTGTCTGGCAATTTTTGTTTTCTGTATTTTGAGCCTCTGTGGTTAAGTACAAATACATTTAAAATTGTTACATTGGGCCATTACATTTTAATTGATGGAGAAGTTGGAATTTTCATTATGACTTCCAGGGTGAAATTCATGTTCTTGACCTTGAAGAATTTATGAAAGAATTTATGAAAGAGCAATTTATGAAAGAACATTACTCAACCCAATTCCTCTGCTTTTTGTTTGTGATACAGAATTTGTCACTTTTTTAAAAATATACTCAAACCTATAAATAATTTCCTTATAAATTTCTCCTCTCACTTTTTTGCTTTTAAAGTCTTTTAGGCATGCAGACAGTTGAATATGTACTTTTTTCACCCACCAACATTTTACTGATGAGTTAGCCTTTTCTCGACACATTTAAGACTATCTTTATCATATACTACATTGCTATACATAAATCTTCTGTTTTGGTGTGGATACTATACTGAATTTAATTACTATGGCTTTATAAGTACACTTTCTCTGTGCCCTACATACCTTTGTTTCTTTTCAAAAGTCATTGCTATTCTTTTGTATTTATTATTCAATGTGAGTTTTAGAATTAGTTGAACAAATTCTACAACATATTTTGGGGGATTATATCAAATTAATAAATTAATTTTAACATGGGGAATGATCTTTATAACTTTTAGTGGAATTTTACTATGTTTTCTTCATATATATTTTAAGTCATTTTTTCTTGATATCACAAATAGGATTTTTTCCTATTATATTTTTAACTGATTATTTCTTGGGTATGGGATTAATACTCTTTACCCATAAGAAGGTGCTCTTCTTAAGTTTGCTTAGTTTTATGATTTTTTTTCCAAACCAGAAAATATATTAAATTTTATCAAATGCCTTCAAAGAATCAGTTTATATATATATATATATATATTTTCTCTTTTGGTCTTTTAATGACAGATTTTGTAAAGTTGAACCACTATTGCAATCTTGGGATAAAACTCACTTATTTGTGTTACATTCTTTTTTCTGTATTGGTAGATTTGACAAATTAGTCTTCTGTAGTTCAGTTTTAATATCTGTAAATTAGGGATAACAGCATCTACAAAGTAGGGTTTTTGTGAGCACCCAATGAATTAAAATACTTAGAATAGTGCTTGGCACATGGTATGCTTTGTGGATATGTGTGTATAAATTCATAGATTTATTTTTGTTTAAATATAGTTGTTTAACTTCTTCCTCTCATGTACTTTATTTGGGGGTATTCTGTCATCGTTTTTTCATGCCTCTTGAGATGATAGCCTAATTCATTTATTTCAGTCTACAGGTTACAAATTTCTCCTTGTCTGTATCCTGCAGATTTTAATAAATATAATGCTTTCATTGCCTGGTTCTAAAAAAACTGTAATTTGCATTTTGATTTGCTCTTTAGCTTAAGTTGCTTTAAAATATATTTAAGTTTTCAAAATTTTATTTTTAACTTTCTAGATATGTGCATTTTTGTTGTTGTAAACTTCAGGTTGTATTTTAAATAACAAGTGTGGCCTGTATGCTAGTAATTAAAAAAAAAGATGGCAGTTTCCTTTGTGCCTTAATAAACTGGCACTTTTATGATGGTTCCATGTGTACTTGTTGGGTACCAAGTATGAAAGCTTACTAATTCCATATTCTTTCTTTATTTTTTGGCCTATTTGATTTGCTGGTTTTTATACAACTATGGATCTGTCCATTTTTCCTTGTATTTCTATCAGATTTGTTTTATGTACTGCATAAGGTTCATAACTTATTTTCATGGCCAACTATTGAAATACTGGTAAGTTTCTTTTAAAGCTTTCAATTCTGTTTGTCTCATTAACATTACTATACCTAATTTCTTGTTACTACTCATGTGACAGTTACCTCTGTGTGAGGTATGACTCTAGAGAATAGTGTCTAGTTGGATTTTTAATCCATTCTGAGTTTTGTGCTTCACACTAAATCTGGAATTACTCTGGCCATTTATTTTGTACTGTCTTTGTCTTTTTGTTGCCTTTCTTCCTGTAGTGGATGTGTTCCTTTACCAGGATAGCATTGCCCTGTTTTCCTGGCCATATTGGCAAATCTCCCAGATCTTCCTTGGTAAAACGTATGGTTTGGATGAACTTGACTCCTGTCCATGCTTAGTTCCAGGCCTGACTCCTTCAGGAGTTAGTTCAGGGACTGGACCCAAACCAAGCCAGTTAGAGCCAGCACAAATCCTGGGCTTTTGCTGGATCTGGTGGGAGAGGGGTTTTTGATTTTATTAGAACCTGAAGCTCTTAGGTGATCATCTTGCCACCACATATTAAAAACTAGCTGGAGAGTGAAAGAATGAAAGAAAAGCATTATGAAGGAGATGAAGTCTGTCTCTAAGAGTCAGTAATACCCCTAGACTTTCCAGTTCTATAAGCCAATAATTTCTTTTTTGCTTTGCTTTTTTTTCCTTATGCCAATTTGAGGTAAAATTCCTTGTCACCAAAAGAAAACTGATTAGCACACTTGTCTTTTGGTAGGTTGAGTTTTCTTTATACAAAATTTTCCCAGTTAATAGTCTTGTCTTTGGACCTTAAAATTTTAAGATATACTTTAACTCTAGTCATTGTTAGAAAAATGGACGTTTATCAGTGTATGCTCCACTCTAATACAGAGTCATAGCATATTATCTTGACCGTCTTTTACTCTCCCTGTTAATAGTATTTATAGTCAATACTTACCTAGTTCCAAGAATAAATTTTTATTAATTTTGTTGCTCATGATTGCTTCTTGCATCCCACTAATCCTCTAGGATCTATTTACCTTCTTGCTGAAGAATATCCTTTAATATTTCTTTCAGAGACAGTCTGTGGGTGGTAAACATTTTACATCTCTGAATGCCTAAAAATGTCTTTATTTGCTTCACACTTAAATAGGAACAGAATTCAAGGTTCAAAGTTATTTTCTCTGCAGTATGTCAATGAAATGCTCCATTTCTTTTTGTTTTTACTTTATGGGTAATTCTTTTCTTCCCCTCTCTGGTAGCTTTTCAGTTCTCTGTTTCTTATGTTCTGAAATTTCACTCTAGTGCAGGGATTGGGAAACTACAATCTATGGGCCACGTCTGTCTCACCACCTGTTTTTGGTACAGCCCGTGAGCTAAGAATAGTTTTACCTTTCTAAATTTGGGGGAAAAAAATCAAAAGAAGACTATTCCATGACACGTGAAAATGATCTGAAGTTAGTATCTCAGTTATTAAAATTTTATTGGAACATAGCCACATTCATTTGCTTACATATTATCTATGGCCACGTTCACACGACAATGGCAGAGCTAAGTTACTGTGACAGAGAACTGCAAAGTCTGAAATATTTACTACCTGGCCAGAAAAAAAATGTGCTAATTCCTGTTTCTGTGTTTGTTTTTATTTGTTTAAACAATAAAAATTCTGGGAATTTTCTGGATATCATTTCTGCTGGTTTCTTTAAGGACTTCTTATTCCTGTATCACAATCAATATTCCAAATCAAAAACTTTTCAGATGTATCCATTTTATTATTCCGCCCAATGATTGTGTTTCTTTGCTGAAATTTTTTTCTTTTCATTTCCAAAATACTGGCCAGTCTTGCTTCAAAAGTGTAATATTCTCTTCTGTCTCTAAAAATAGTAAATATACCCATTTTGATGTCTTGTTCTGATTGCTGTACTGAGTCTCCTTCCAAGGTTGAAAGTTCTTCCATTTGTTGAATATTTTACTGGTCAACTGTTTGATATTTGTCCTCTTTACTACATAGTAGAGAACAGACTCTTGCCTCTGTGTACGCTGGCTGCTTGGGAGGGAGCAATATCGGATGGCTCGTGTTTTCCATGAGAATGAGGGGACAGATGGCCCATGTTGCTCCAAGATCCCATACTCGCTGCTTTTGTCTTTCCTTTAGGGGTAGGATGGGATGGATAGGGTTCGACATGCCTGGATGCTTCTTTTGGTTTCTGTCTTGCTCTTGGTTTTAGTCAAACTAAGGTATGGATCACCCTAAGTGCTGCTCCCTTTATCTGTGGCAAACTGTATCCTCCTGCACGGAACCTAAGCTCTGGTTCCCTCTTCAATCTGATTCCAGCTGCTTTCCCTCTTTCAGTCCACTGAAAGTTTCTCTTCGTATTAAGTGGTGTGCTTGTTCTTATTTTTCTATGGTATGGAAGGCAGAAAACTACAGGGTGCCTTGTTTACCTCCTTGAAATGAGAAGCCAGTCTGTACTATTGCTATTTTTCAGAAGTCCACTGAAGTTTTATTGGTGGCTAATGCATATTTTATAAATGACCTGTGGTCTATAAACCACAAAGGTATCTATTTTCAGGGACTATTTTTACTATGACTATAAATAATAGGTTTCAGTTTCTCCCTTTTGTCTTTTCAGAGTTTTTTGCTTCAAAAATTAATGTTATCAGGACAGTTTTTTGGGAGGGAGTGTTCAGTCTTTTTATATTCAACTTTTGTTGTCATTCCATAATTGGATCCTTTTCCTTTTAATAAGTGAATTTGTTCCATTTACATTCACTGATCTAAAAGTATTTGTCTTATTCTGTCATCTTAATTTATGCTGTGTGGTCTGTGTTTTTCTTTATTGTGTGTACACGTTTTCTGATTAAATGAATTAGAGTATTGAGAGTCTGGCTTTGGTGTTTCAAGTGTTTATTTTAATTAAACCTTCCGCGTACCAGCTTTAGAGGATAGTTGTTGAGTCCCTGTTTATAAAACTCACACATATATTTTTTTCCTCCCTTCGAATTTTCAAGTTTAAATTGTTATTTCTAGGCTGTTATACATGTATTTCTTCCCCCTTCTCTACATCCCACTTTTAGTTATATTATTTTTTCCAGAATATTCTGTTATGATCTCTATCCTTTTGTATTTAGATGCATTGAATACTATCATTTCTTTTCCAGCACAGGTGCTCCATTTCTGGGCTCTTTATTTTGGTTCACCTCTTGGTTTTGTGATTATGTCCTTTGTAAAGGGAGATCACAAGTGCTATATTCTTTCCACTTCTTACATGTTTGAAAATATCCATTTGTGTTTTCATGTTTGAATGTCATCTTGGGTTGGTATAAAATTTGGGGGGTATAGAATTTCTTTCTCTGAGACAAAGTTGAACTATTGTTTCATGATCTTCCAGTATTCATTTTTACTGTGGCAGTTTCTGAGGCAAGGCTGATTTTTTTTTCCCTCTTGTCTGGTGACTTGCATTTTTTAAACATGGAAAAAGCCTCCAAAGTAAACTTTTACTTATCTTTGAATTCTGTTAAATTCACCACACATCTACGGGGTCAGTCATTATCAGTATTTCCTGGATATGGTGTGACTTCTGACCTTTCAGATTCAGGTCCTCTTTTATTTCAAAAAAGCTCTTCTATTATCTTTGAATTTTTTTTTCTATTTCATTTGCTCTGTTGTCTAAGACATATAAGGTAGATCCTTTTTGTTTTCCTTATATATACCTAATTTTCTTTCTGAGACTTTATTTTGTTCTTTTCTATTCAGTTTTACTTGATCTTTCAAAGTCTTCTTTTACATCCCTATTTTTTCTTCGATAGCCAAGAAGTATACATCCACAAAGTGGTTTTTAATGGTTACATGGGATTGCACTGTGTACATGTAGGACAAGTTTGCTAATCCGATACTAAGATTGCCTCCAGTTTTCACTATTATAACATCTACACATGTTCTTTTTTTAAATAAGACTAAAAATTTGTTTTTGTTTTTGGAGGGGGGAGGGAATTAAGTTTGTTTGTTTGTTTGTCTTTTAATGGAGGCACTGGGGATTGAACCCAAGACTTTATGCATGCTAAGCGTGTGTGCTACCACTGAGCTATACCCTCCCCCTTACAAATGTTCTTAACAGTAGTGATATTGCTTTGTAAAGTTAGTAACCTCACCCCAATTCCTACTAATGAAACTCAGTGCCCAAACACTTTAAATATATCACACCTGTGAATCCACTTGCCTTTCTTCTTCTGATGCAGTCAGACTTAAGATAATCAATGAATGATGAATGATTTTAAGGGTTTTCTCCAGGTCTTTGATCCCAGTTTTGTGGCTAAGCATATTAGGGAAATCGCTGGATTAAAAAGTGGTTTGGTAGTGGCTTCTTCAGTACTCTCAGAAAAGACACTTAGGACTTAATGGTAGGGGTGAAAATGGTACAGTCTCTAAGGAGGACTAGTTGACATTATCTACTGAGCTGGGTGTTTCTGTTTATCCCTCTAGAGCTACTCTTCCCCTAGCTCTGCACCCTAGGAGGCTGACCCAAATGGTCCACACCATTGTGCTCTCGTGTCTTCTGGTTGGAAGCCAATGGGAAGCACATACAGGATACTGAAGGATACAAGGAGAATGAAACCGGCTATTTGTTCTAGTAGCTGTCTCTCAGCTGGGTTGCCACACGTTGGCTAAATCCTGTTACTGCAGATCATAAGCCCTGTCATGTGACCCTCTCCATACAGCTACTCTCTCTGTGTTCTGGGGATGGTTTCATCTCCCTGTCCTTTTGGGCTTATGGAGGGAAATGGTTCCCCACCATTGCTAGTTTGGGTGTCTGCATCATTTCTCGTTGGTTTCTCCAAAGCCCTCCTATGTCTTTGCAAGTTTGCTATCTGTTTGCTATACTTCTAGAAATTTATCCCACATTTGCATAAAATGACACATATATAAGATTATTCAGTATTTCACTAATAGTGAAATTAGAAATATAATGTCCATGAACAGAGGAATGCAAAATAATGGTATAACTATACAGTGGAATATTATGCAGCTATAAAAACTTACCACATTAATTGAATATATTAATGGAATAATCTCCAATTTATTGGTTTGGTTTTTCCTCCAACTTTCAGTTATTCTTTTATTAATTTTTTTCATTCATGCAGGGCCCCCAAAATATTTGTGATGCCTCATTTATACCTAAGTGATTATTAAAAACAAGTATTTGGTTCACCATATTGTTCTCCCAACCTTTGTTGTTGTGGTTTTCAGCTTTATTGAAGTTTGATACAAAAAAACTGTGCACATTTAATGAATTCATCTTGATGAATTCAGACATATGCATGCATCTGTAATATCATTTCCACAACCAAGGCACTAAACTTAGCCACTACCTCCAAACATTTCTTTGTGTTCTTTTTTTCTTTTGTAGGAACACTTAACATGAGCTCTATCTTTTTAACATATTTTAAAGTGCATGATACCATATTTTAACCATAGGTACTATACTGTATAGCAGGTCTCTAGGACTTATTCAGCTTGTATAACATAAACTTTACAAAAGTGGAAAAAGCAGGGAACCAAACAATGAGTCTGCTACCATATGTGTAAGAGAAAAAAGAAGTTAAAAGAATGTATATGTGCACTTGGTTTTACATATATACTCACATGTATGTGTGTGTGTGAGGAGAGAGGATGTGGGGCAGAGAGGGAGAGAGTGCCTCTGGAAGGGCTCACAGGAGAATGGTAATAGTGGCTGCTTCTGGGGAGAACTGAGTGGTAGGAAGCCAACTATTTATTTGAATATTAAATCAAATGCATATACTGCCTATTCAGAAAATGCATCACATTAATAACAAGGACTGAGAACCTGAGAAACAGTGACCAAGGAAGAACTAGAGGAGCTGCTACAGGAACCGCTAGAAGATGATGAGAAGAGCCAGAGAATTCTAAAGTCACTGAGATGTTCTAGGCAGTAAAAGTCATGGGCAGTTAAATTTCTTACCATGGTCCCTTTATGGAATTTTACCTTATTATAAATCTTCTGTAAAAGTCACTTCCTGTACAGGGTTGAATGACAATACCATGTATGATACAGATTTGTTTTAAACATGATCATCTTTACTATTTGAAAGTAGTTCTTTGAGCTTCCTCCTGTATTTACAGGGTTTCCCAACATCCCTAACAAAGTAGAATGACTGCACAATGATCTTAGTTTCCAATGAAAGGTCCAACTCCATTCAAGGAAATGGGACATGAGAAGGCTTTTCAGGAAATTAGTGAAGGAGGGAAGAGAAGACTGCTGGGGGAAACATTCATTCAATTAAAGCTGGTTCAAGTCACTCATTTTTATGATATTCAAAACTGACAAAAATAGGAAAGGATTACAAGCTTGATTATTTAAGGTGGTCCTAATACCCCCTATCAGGTTACCCTGTTAAAAAAGCTGCGCAAAACACAGGGAGACTCACCCTTCCTGGAACTGTGCTTGGGCAGACTCCTCCGCTACAAGGGTCTCATATTCCTCAGCAGCAAACCTGTCCCAGTCGGAGGGCTCAGGACCATCATTCTCAACGTCCTGATTGGAAGAGGTCAGTCACAGGAAACAAAAATAATCAGAGATGGAGAATTGGAGATAGGTCATCACAAATGTTTTAACATCACTGAAGAAACCCCACCTGAAAGATGTTTCATTTAAAGAAGTTTAAAGAAGTGCTAAAGTGATTTTCTGCACTTTCTACACTTTGAATCACAAAATTGTAAGAAATGGTTACAGCAAGACGGCTTAGGTTTGGACTTCAGCCTTGTAATCAGAGACTTCTCTGGCCCCTTCTCTCTGGCACTTTGCACAGCAGCTATCTGGAGTGACTTGTGGTTTGCATCTGTGCCTGAAATGTACTGTCCCTTCCTCTGGCAAAACTTTACTGCTTCTTTCAAAGCCAGCTCAGATACCATGTCATCTGTGTTCTCTTCCTGGAAACAGCCCTTCTCCCCCCAGTCATTTCCTTCACTCCACTGTAGATGCTTGGTTGCCACCTTTTGGTCTTCTTTTTTTCATCTCTCTCTGTACCCATCTTTTTCATCTCTGTATAACCAGTGTCTTCCACACACTGCCTGGAATTTGCTGAGCACTTTCTAATAATTTTTGCAGATAGAGCAAATATTGATAATTACCACCTCTCAGAAAGAAAAGAAAAATTTAAAGGTGAAAAATTTAAATTTTTAACAGATAAAATTGAAGGGGGCAAAAGGGCATATGTATTTTCTTTTCCTTCTACAATATAGGCAGCATCTTGGATTTTATGTTCCAGGGAAAATGATGTTTTTTCATGACAAAGTTGAGTCAGCACTGCCGTAGGACATCAAGTTAGTTATGACAAGAAGAATGCAAGTGCCTAAATATTGACCACAGTGTGTTAATTACTATATTTAATCCATTTTAAGA